TGGGTTTATGTTGTTTTGGTCTGCTAATACTAATGCTTCTGTCGTTGAATTACGATTTGGCTCTATATGTGCTACAGAGGTTCCGCTCAAATTTTGAAGTCTGTTTCAATATTTGCATCCTCGGTAAGGTCATACCCAATTCTAACATACCTTTTAATTGCATGTGCAATCTATAATTGGCATTTTTATTAGCAAATTACAAAAATCAAACCATATTCAATGCATTAAATAGCACACATTGTCATTTAACCTGCCGTTTGATCTACTATCTTATTTTGCAAAATAAACATGCCAGAAATATTATATCTGGATACAATACTAAAAAGGACACTACGATCAGAAAGGGTTATTTTTACAACTTTATTAAATTGTATCCGAATCCTTTATATAAAAAGGATATTATAATATTTTATTTCGCAAAAACATTGTAGTTTGATTATTATATGATTTTATGAACAACTATATTCACAAAATCATATGAAAAGTAAATTATATATTAAATGATGTAGGAGAATGACAGGTTAAATAGCATTCGAAATGTGCTGTTTGAATTTTTTTTTTTTTTTTAAAAAAAAGACTAGTGCATATTAAATCTACTTGCAGTCGCGTGATGAGAATCAACTGTGGTCTTCGCTTCTCCGGGTTCAAGAAAGATCCATCCACGTATTTCTATATTATACCAACTATGCCAGTGACTAATAATTGCCATTAACTCCGAGTTATGATAGTGCCCTCCATTATTTGAAATTATTTTAACCCAATGTGGTTTAGGATCCATTGTCATGAATACTGCCTCAAAACATGATGCAGTGAACCATGCATCTTGTTTGGTATCGATGCTCCAATGATCATAGGCCCGAATATTCAAATTTTCACTATCATCTTTGTCTTTTTGAAATACTAAAGTTGTATGAAGTGTCCACCCCCGTTTTCCAAAGAACTGGCTTTTTGTTTCTCGAGCTGTTGCAGGTAAAATTCGCATCTTATAATCAACTACAATAACTGCCCCATAATCATCAAGTTCACGTAATGTAGAATTAAATTGAGCACTTAGGTACGTTTTACGGGTTTGATGGGCCAAATAGCATGTTAATCGTTCCTGACATTCTGTAAGTTTTGTATGATGTGAGGTATCTAATTTATTTGTTAGATCTATAAATATGCTAAATAATTTGTCACATTCTAGGCATCGTGAAAAATGCTGATTTTTACATTCACCAAAGGCAAATAACAAACAATGATTAATGCAATCTACATAACCAATTGTACCATTCTTATTCACGACCAACTCCTTTTCATAATTATGCTTTAGGTGATAGCGCAATAATTCTACCTGATTAATAAGATCATCCTACAAAAATTGTATATTATATATTAATATGACTTTTTTTTATATTTTGGTTAGGTTAATTTGTTTTTTTTTTTAACATAACACGAAATTATAAGAGAGTGGAAAAGAAAAATAAGATATTAAAAATATATATGAGTGCTGCCAAAAGAAAACCTGGCATCAGACATTCAATTATATTTCGTGTACAGATAGCCATCTGTAGAAAATCTATCATTATGATAGATTTTTCATAGGCGGCTAACTGTATACAAAATTGAATGTCCGATGACAGGTTTTCTTTTGGCAGCATTCATATCTATTATTATTAGATTAGATCCAATGTATAATTTTAAAAAATAACAGATTCCAACATATGCCAGAGAAAAAAAATAGAGGGATTATATAATATAGTCAGATCGCTTTAAATGCATTGTGACGGGACTATATGTGAAAATTTAGTCAAACTTGCATTTAGGAAGGTAAAAAATTATAAGGATTATATTAGTTGGGTCTAAGCAGTGATATGCACTTAGAAAGACTTTTATAGGGTATGCATTTAGGGGGGTTTGATTATATTATGTGTATTTGTTTCTATAATTTTGAAACAATTAAGACGATAGGATTATATTAAACAAGAAATCATATTAGCTTGACCTTACTAACCTGTAATGTTTTATGTGAGAAGCTTTTATTAATTATCTCAATCAACTCTTCAAAAGGCTGATAACTATAATCATTACATATTACACATAATCCGCCTAAGTCTTCTCGGTACTGAAAACGGTCATTTTGCAAACGGGCCATAAAGGATGTACGCTTCATTCCGTCTGGATAAGTAGCTGAAAACTTTTCCCAAAGTGTTGTTTTTTGGTCTTTTAGGTAAAGTACAGGTAATTGTGTTTCTTTATCTACTTTGTAAGAACTCATAGTTACATTTTCTTTGTCATTAAAAAATAATTCGAATTCTTTTTCCTTAACAATAGACATTTTTGTGCGAGTAATGTTAGGTTTTTCTAATGCAATACATCCAGGTCCATTAATACGAGAAAACTTTCGTGCTGTATTGACCGTATGGGGGGATATCTAAATTATTCAATTATTATTACATATACAGAACATTTGAAAATATGCGATATTAATAAGTATAAGATGTTGGTCATGCAACGATTAATATCATCGCATGATCCAATATCGATGTTATCGTGCAATTATGATCATTTAAAAGTCGTGATTGGCTAACTGAGTTTAATCCGGGATTGTTGTGTTTACGTATTAACGTACAAAAAATAACAATAAAAAAAAAATCTATGATCATAAGAGTTTGCACGATAATCTAGTTTATTGATTCAAATTTTAACAAAATATTAGCATAATCTGGTATTTATTATAAATTTGAACTGAAAACTAGTTATTGATATCTATAAATATATTTATCTTACTTTTAATTCATCTATCAATTTTTGATATATAAAGTTTTCCGCAATAATTGACAGTATTCTAATTTTGCCTTCTATTCCTTTAGGATTTGCATCATAACTAGTACGAAAGCAGTCCCAAAATATCTTATCCGATGAAGTTTCTGAAGATATATTTACTTTATCTGATGAAGTTGGTGATAATATATTTAAAAACCCATCCTCGTATAGATGTTTAAGAGTATTACGATCTTTTTCGGGATTAGGTGCGTTTGTCCAGAATTCAACCTATGTTGTATTATTTTTTATTAGTAACTAATCAATTGTTGAATATATATATATGAACTTCAATATAGAAAAGGCAATTTGGATCGTAATAAAGTTTAGAATAGTACTTTGCAAAATCAAATCAAATTTTGAATTTGAATTAATTGTTTGAAATTATTTGATCAAATTTTTAATTAATTTGATCAAATAATTTCAAATATTTGATTCAAATTCTAAATTTGATTTGATTTCGTAAAGTACTAGTTTAGAATCAGCTAGAATGACATATTCGAAGTTCTTTTGAAGCATAAAATGATGCATCATAAATTTGTGCTTCAAATTTAGATAAGCTTATCTTTTTAAGAATTAAGATTAGGTGAGTGCAAGTATGATTGTTTCTTTATATTAGGCTATATTCTATTGTCAAAGTAATTTTAATGAAATAAAATAGACAATATTGGCAAGTTAATTGTCAATAGTAAATATATAACAAAGTGATTGTCAGTAAATGATATAAATCTATTACGATTCATTATATTAATATAACACTTCAAATCAGATCTAAGAGTGAGCTAGTAAGTTCGTATATGAAACAAAATATCTAAAATCACATTTTTTTTTAATAATTTTAGATAACATTTAGCGTGGTTGAATGAGTTACTCATACTGTAGTTGATTGAAATAATTTGTAACAAATTGGCTGGTGCAAAAAGAAAACCAAAATTCTAAATTTGAATCATAATATTGTTAAAGTTAGCGTTTGAAAATTTTTAAGGCTAAATCTAACAAGACAATAAATCAAACAGAATTTAGACCTTCTTTTTGTATCGTTTGAATTAATTAGTAAAAATTGGGTAAGCGATTCAATATATAGAAATTTTAATTGAAAAGAATCTAAAATAACGATTTATGTAATGTGTTGATGAAATTTTTAATATGTGGAAAATTATTTATTCGATCGAGTTTGTGATTCACTTTTTTGCTATCAGTAGAATATAAAGAGGATGATTCAATAGGTTTGTAGTTTTAATGCACTGCTACTTTGCTGCTAAATTTTTAACCAAATTTATATAGAACTATGATAATACCATAATAGTTTAGTATTATTATAGTTACTACTATTCGCATTTAGAAATGGTTAAAACATTCTAGACTTTAATTAATAAGGTTTTTTTTTTGTTTTTTGTTTTAATCAATTTATCGAATCTCAAATAAATTTCCACTAATTAAAAATTTTTTGAGTAGGTTTGTAAAAGTGTTTTTATATTGGTAACCAAGAAATAGTACTTTGTTATTATGATCTATTACAGTCAAATCTCTCTAAATGCAATTGTATAACCAGAGAACAATGAGAAAAATCGTATTTATAGAAGTTTGGTATATATTTGAGTTATAGATTGGTGCCGTAAGTATTATGTCATGTCGTAATTGTATTTTGACAAATTACTACATATTTTATCCAAATTACTACAATTTCGACATGATATAAGTACTTACAGCATCAATCTATAATTTGAGTAGAGGTTAAAGGTTGTATTTAAAGAGGTTTGTCGCATTTATGTTGGCAATTGGGTGAATTTGACATAAAAATTTATTTAGATATGCAAAATTTTATGTCTATATATCCAAATGCTAACACTGGATTTATAATATTAATTTATTTGTAATTACCTCTGAATTTTCCTTGTTACATGGAGTAATCTCTGTACACCCAGCTGCACGAAATACTGCACGCCATGCCCATAATTCACGATTTCGAAATTCATAATCTTGTCCATAGGTTTTTCTAATATGAGTATGAAGTTCTATTATATTACTTTTCTGCTGTTTCCAACTTTGAAATACCCGATGCCATCCTTCATTTGATTTACTAACTGCTTTTTTTAAATGTAATTCAAATAGATGATTCATAATTATTTTATTGTCCCAATCTGCTACTGTACAATTATTGGGTATAGATATTTGATAATGAAATTTGGTTTTATATATTTGTTCTAAATTATATAAAGTTGTGGGATGATTTATGGCAAATAAAGTTTCGCCACAAATAGATTTTAATACTCCAGTTTGTTGCCAAACGGCATTTGGTGAGGTGTCTCTATATTCATTAACAACTTGACTATCTTGATAAACCGTAATTGAATATGAATTGTCATTGATACATTGTAAAAAAACTGACTGTTTTGTTTTATATTTATAAAATAATGATGTGGTATAATGATTACCAACTTTATTTGAATGTGTAATTTTACCAAGTGAACCCACAAAAATCGATATACTTTCTAGCTTAATAATAAAGGGGCAAAAAGTAACATTTTCTAATAATTTTTGTGCTGTTTTATTTTGATCTAAACCCAAATATGCGAGCCCTGAAAACCTAGTTTTAGTACCGAAAATAGATTGATAAACAGAAGTTATTGCTGTAGAAGCACTTGTAACAATACCACTACTCTGTCCACTTCCTTCACAAATATATCCAGGTTGTAAAGGACTGTGTATAGAACGTACTACACGAATAATAAAAGGATTTTTATGAAGTTGTATCATAACTTCAAGTCCTAATCGTATAGGAATAGGATAAGATGGATTTTCTTCTGAAAAAACCCACCAATCTCGTAAATATGAACCATAGTGAAGTTCTGGAACTATTGTACCAGTTTTAATAAGTTCACCAGGTGTTATATGTGTATTTGACATTTTAATCTTTAAAAGAAATAAAGATTTTAACTACAATTTTTTTTATTAAGAAATATAGCGCTATAGTTTATAGTTGTAATTTCTACTGATCACATGCAGATCTGCAATTAAATTTATTTACAATCAACTCAATTTTATTTAATACTGAATACTACAAAGCTAAATTTAAACCTTGGCTAATTACATACAAAGATAATAATATTATTATAAAGAAAACCAGAAAATATTATTCAAATAATAATAAATTATTTATTACAGTCGGACCTCTTTAAATGCATACCCTCAGGACCAGCTTCAAACTATGCATTTAGGGAGGGTTGCATTTAGAGAATAACTAATAGAAATATAGCAAATATATAATCACGTGTAATAATTATTGGCCAATGATATTTTATATACGTTCGTATAGTATGCACGTACGTATGTATGACATATCCTTAAGAACATTATGAACATTCAAAAATTTTTTTTATCATATGAACTTTCGCTCTTTATTTTACTAGATTGTGAACTTACACTGCAGCTTGAATAGCTTATCATATGATAAATTCAAATTTGTCACATGGTATTTTCAAATTTGTCACATTAAAAGTGACAAATTCGAGGATATTACGTGACAAATTTGAATTTATTACATGATAAACCATTCAAGCTGCAGCAAGTCATGATAAGCCGGCTTATTTTAAACACTATTAAAAACAAAATAACTACTAATCAATTAACTAAACAAATCAAATTCAGATTTAAATTTATTTACAATCAACTCAATTTTATTTAATACTGAATACTACAAAGCTAAATTTAAACCTTGGCTAATTACATACAAAGATAATAATATTATTATAAAGAAAACCAAAAAATATTATTCAAATAATAATAAATTATTTATTACAGTCAGACCTCTCTAAATGCATACCCTCAGGACCAGCTTCAAACTATGCATTTAGGGAGGGTTGCATTTAGAGAATAACCAATAGAAATATAGTAAATGTATAATCACATGTAATAATTATTGGCCAATGATATTTTATGTACGTTCGTATAGTATGCACATACGTACGTATGACATATCCTTAAGAACATTATGAACATTCAAAAATTTTTTTTATCATATAAACTTTTGCTTTTTATTTTACTAGATTGTAAACTTACACTTTTCGTTTTATTATATTATAAACTTTCGTTTACTTCATTTATTGTAACGAAGCCAAAATCTAACTCTAATTTGAATACGCATATGTCTAACTTTTTAGATATACATTTATCACAGTATTAGACACTTGATTTTTTTTTTTTTATACTTAGAGAAAAAGAAAAAACTAGATAAGATTTAAATAAATCCACTAACTACATTTTAACTACGTTTTTCTTGAATATAAATTTGAACAATTTTATATTGTTATATCAAAAGATAAGTTTTTTTTTTTACTCAACCACATGATTCAATTCAGTATCGTTTTGTTAGCCATCCTAATTATTTATTTAAAGATAAGGAAATATCGTTAGACAAAGGTTAATTTCATTAGCTTTATTGTTATGTATAATGATATACATACATTACCAACTGGTTCAAAGAAAGTTTCTATATTTAATTATTTAAACGAAGCATTCTGGAGCTTTCTTACTAACTTATACAATTTTGACAAAGCTATGTCATGTTCTGTTTGAACCACATAATTAAGGTCTTGTTGCATAAGATACAACTCCATCCGGTAAACAGCATCTAATGCTTCCTTATAAGTAATTTGGGGCATGTCTACACTGTCATTTTCCTCATCACTTTCAACCTGTTGAGGTTCCTGATACGTGGCTTAGTTTAAAATTTCCTGATCGCTCATTATTTCTGTTACAATTTTTTCTTCTGAATAATCTATATATTCTTCAAGATCCATTACATTTTGAAAATTAAGCAATTCGATATTATTATACAACTCTTCCATTATATCATCATCATTATTATTAGTGGTAGGTTCTTCATCATTATCTTGAACTAATGGAAGAATTCCTGTGTGTTGAAAGCAATTTTTTATGGTTTTCGATAACACTTCTCTCCATTCTCGAACAATGAATTTTATAGTGGTAAGAATATCCAATTTATTATCTTTTTCAGACTCATACTGATTAAGAAGCCACTTTATAAAGTAATTTCAGTAGTGGCGTTTGAAGGATATAATGACACCAGCATCCATAGGTTGTAGGCAAGATGTTGTATATGAAGGAAAAAATTTAATGGTTGTATTACGAAGTTTTAAATTACCAACAGAGTGAACTTTTGCATTATCCATTAGGAGAATTACTTTGCGACCAGCCATTTTCAAATCAAATTTCTTAAGCCATTTTTGAAACAACAGAACTGTCATCCATGCTTTTTGACTTGCATCGTACATAATACGAAGGCTGTGGTGATTAATAGATTTGAAGCAACGTGGATTGGGCAACTTACCAATAACAAATGGCATCATTTTATCTGTCTCATCAGCATTGGCACAAAGTGCCAATGTTAGCTGTTCTTTATTAATTTTTTTCTTTAAGACGAACAGTTGCTAGTGTAGTGTCTGGCTCTAGACTAGAAAAAAAAAAATTTTAGCTATTAATTAGTATACAGTAGAATATAGGTTACCAAACGATTTATTTGTGCTGCACAAGTAAATCGTTTGATAATCTGTGCTACTCCTGTAGCATTATTTATTTATATCGATAAAACAATCTAGTCTCATCTATGTTATATATATTCTTCAAGTCGTAATCTTTTAGGGTTTCTCTTAGGTCAGGAATAGCAGTTCTGATAACTTCTTCATCTACAGAAGCATCTTCTCTGTGTTTTGTTATTCTTTTTAATCTGTGTCTTTGTTTAAACTTATATAGCCAACCATGTGAGAACTTAAGATCATCCTCAGGTATGTTTAACGATTTAGCAAAACTTTTTGCTTTTTCAACTATAATCTTAACAGATAGGATTATTTTTTCTTGGCTTTGTAGGATCCATTCAATCAATGTATTTTCAAGTACTGGATGCTGAACTGTTCTCTGTCTTTTCGCCACAGGATTTTCTCTAATTTCTTCTTTATTCTTTATTAAACGGCTAATAGTAGTTTGATGAACTGTTAGACCCATTGTTTGCTTTACCCAACTGGCGAGGTCAGCTTGACTAATTTGAGGATTTTTTTTCTTTGTGCTTAATTATATCTTTTCTTTGTTCATTGGTAAGTGTAGTTTTAGTTTCTTTAGATTTTTTGGAAGACATTTCGTTTAATGTAATATAAAGGTTAATAAGTTCAATAAGTGCTTCTCTCTTTAATTTATAATTCAAATGATTATAATCCAAGATGGGTTATTATGTAATCATGAAATGTATAAAGATGTTTATATCTAAAAGCTATTTTTGGTATTCTTTTAACAGTTATTGCTTAGCATAAGCGTGGAAAAATTTTAAGGCACTACGTTTCAAAAGAGGTAATAGGTACACATATTTTTTTTCGCATACAATATTTTTGGAATTTACTGATTCATATTTAATGTAATCCAGAATCGATATAACAAAAAAAATTAGACCCAGGGCCAGAATGACAAAGAAAAAGAAATAGGTATACAACAATTGCTTATTTCACATATATTTTTGTTCTTTTTTAAAAAATGCTGACCAGTACTTAATTTGATGCAGGTCAGGATGACAAGAAAAATTGGACACAGGACCAGAATGACAGAGAAAAGAAAAGAAAATAAACGCTTATTTCCTATATGATTAATTTTCTTTTTTGTTTTTTAAAAAAAAATAATTATGAGAATTTTGCTCCATATTTGATTGGATCCAGGGCCAGGGTAAAAAAATTGGATCCAGAACCAGGGCGACAAAGACAAAAAAAGGAATAGGCTTACATCAATTACTTAATTATATATATTTTTTTTTTTTTTGAATACTCAATTAGATCCAGGACTGAGTCAACAAAGAAAAAAGAAAGGATCCAAGGCCAGAGCAACAAAGAATATTAGACCAGGGCCAGGGCTAAAAGAAACTTGACAGTATGAGTATGCGATATATGCATAAATGCATATATATACGTATATACTGCATTTACCTATTGTCTTTAATTCATATTCTATTAATCGATTAGTTAAAACTAATCAATTGATAATTTTATTAGACAACTAATTGACTAGTTGTTTTATATAATATCATCTTTAATCTTGTAATTAGTGGCTATACAATTATATCCAAGCTATTTCGATATACCAACTAATCGATTAGTTGGCAACAATCGATTTCTAATCGATTTTTAAAAAATTTTTGGCCAACTAATCGATTGCGTTTTTTGATTCGATTTGTAACACTAATCGTAAGTCAGTTTTTATCACTCTTTTTTATTTAGCTGGATCAACAATATCGTAATTTTTTTAGAGTTCCGTAACTGCTTGATGACAATATAAAAGTCACTTCAACTTTGTCGTATTTTGTGGAATTCATTTAATTATTTATACATTTCCATTTTATTGATACAATTCACAAAATATAACGAACATAAGGCGGCAAAAAAAAAAAAATTACGATAATCATTGATCAAATTAAACAAAAAGAGTGATAATTGTTGCATATGTTTTACATTTTATTTTATTCTACATAATCTATATTTTGCTAACTAGCCTTGAATATAAGGCATCATTTATTATCAAAAACTTGTTGAGATAGGGGGCGCTGATGGAACTTTTAGTGGGTATTGCTATGAAAGCGCTAAGAGATGAAATTAAGCATTTATTTATTAGAATCCGCGAGATAGATAATGATATAGGAATATTTAATGCTAGATATTGTTGTTCTAACATGTTACTAAAATAAAGATTGTTTAAAAAAAATTTAGAATTTTAATAAAATAATATTTTTATATTAGATAATACGTTATCTCAATTTGATTGGCTGTTGGTCACGTGATATGTGTTTATAGAGAGATTTATTATACATGGGCCAAAAAAATAGTATGCATTTGTAGAATAAAGAATATGCATTTATTTATTAAGCCTGTTAATGGGCCAGACAATTAATATACATTTAAAGAGGTTATGCATTTAGGGGGGATGCATTTAGAGAGGTCCGACTATATACACTAAAATATTATATTTGACAATTTAAATACTAATCTATATTCTATATCAACTTATCAAAATTAACTATATACAGAATGTATATTAAATTCTAATTAAATTTAAAACAAATATATATTTAATATTTCTACCAACTCATCAATCAAGTTTTTGAGATGACCAAAATATATAGAAAATAAAATTATACTAAACCTCTATACTAACTTGCTAGATCTAATTTACTCTCTTGCATTATATAACCTAGTTATTATACCAACACAATCTACTATCAAATTTTAAAATAATGCAATACTTAAAATCTTTAATGATAACCAACTCTCCTAATCACTATTACAAATTGCAAAAAATAACTTAATCTATTTACAATTTATATTCTATACAGATAGTTTGGTTAAAGATATTACTACAGAGCATTATACTATAAAAATTAGTTGTGTTCAAACCTAAAATAATATAATTATTTATATATATTTAGCAGAAATCTAAATCTGATTATTATTATACAATTTTGAACTTATTGCAATACTTTTTGCTATCAACTCTTTCTAATGATCACTTGAACCAAGATCGCACCAAAACAGTTTAAAAATTCAAGGCTCTAAAAAGTCTAAAGATACTTAAAGTTCCTTATTAGTAATGTTGTTGATAAAGACTTATATGTAAAACACCAAAAAACAGGGCATATATAGTTGGTTTGTACCCTGGGTCAAGCTTTTCTTCTTGATAGACTCTCTCGCACATTTGGCATCTAAACCAAAAGGGTTATTTTGATAACAGTAGTGGTGAAAAACTTTTGACTCAAGTGTTTAAAGCTTTTTAGTTCTATTAAGAACAACTAGGAACACTTTTATTGTCTTGAGCTCTTGCAAATACAGTATTTTTTCTCTTTAATACTTTTGGCCATAACTTTTGACAAAAAGTAGAGAATTCAGCATATCCCTCCAAAAGTTTGCAATGTTTACTACTTCTATATTAGAAAACTCTGCATGATGACAAACAATACATGTAAAATAAATAGTGTTAGAAAAATTTAATAACTGAATGAGTGTTTAGAAAAATATCTTATATGTCATATTGTTAAGGATATACAAATACGTGATCATTGGATAGAGCACGTAGAGATTCCAAAATTTTTATACTTTCAGATAAAGATATAGATTTAATTGAAAAAATAAAGCAAAGTGAAGAGAGATATACAGACATCCTCTAGTTATCTGTATATAATTTTTAGTCTCTAGCACGAGTTATAGTGCATTTTATTTTAGTTTTAAATTTTTTGTCAAGACTTTCACATTTAATAGTAGATTAAGACTTTGTATAATTAGAAGTTTTTGCCTGGTTAGCAAGTTTTCTTCTTTTTAGCGATAGTTTCTTTTAGGTTTTAGTTTAGTTTTTTTATATTCTTTAATATTAGTATCCATTTCTTTGATGTATTAGTTTTATTTTTTATCTCTTTTTTTGTTTTCCATTATCCTTTTTTTTTCTTTTTCCTTCCCTACAAGAAAGTGTCATTAGTTTGGCAGTATTCTATTGTAGGACAGGAATTTTGACAGGGTGGTGCAACAGCCAGCCAAGGAATCCAAGGAAATAAGTTCTGAGTAAGTTCCAGATCTCTAGAAGAGGCCAATCATTCACTAGGCAGATTATATCTAGGCAAAACACAGTAGTTTAATGGTTCACCCTGACTGCAATTAGATGTTACAGCATCTGTGAGATACACCATAGATAAGTTTATCTTTTAGTTAAAACACTTATAGATTTAGATTTCTTATGCAAATATAAGAATGAAAGTCTGTTTTTATAATAAAGTAAACAGGATTGAAAAGGAAAAAAAAATACTTTTTGC